ATTGAGAAATTAACATTTGTTGAATAAAATATTATCGTTACAGATTCTTTTCAAATGGAGTTGAGTTTACTTGCCAAATCAAAATTGAAAGATGAAATACTTTAAATTTTAAAAAAAAACAATTTTAATTTCCCCAAATCTTGTCAAACTTGAAGTAAACGTGCTGTAAGGTAGTTTTGAAATCTGACTTCAAATTATGAATCCTCGCATTAACACACCCCTTGGGGTGGCAGCATTCTCAAAAATATGTAGAAATGAGTAAGAACGAGTGGTTAGGTGTTGTTCTATTGAAATGCTTATTTTGGATTTGACAGCAGAAGAACAACAAAATTTTTTCTAAATAATTTATTTTCTTTCAAAAAACGCGTCAAATTTGAAGTAAACGTGCTGTATTATTTGTCTATGTTGATGATATTTGTATTAATTGATATGATTCAATAATATTCCGAAGCTTTACATCACTGTACAAGTAGCCACGTAACAAAATTGCGTCCCAACAAATTCATTTTTTATATTTGCAACGGCTAGCGATGGCGGTACGCAACTAGTAAGAACTAACCACGAAAAGCTTGATACCAATCGGCAGCAAACTGCTGCTCCTGTGGAGAACCCTGATTGGAACCAAGTAACGAGAGGGAGACTCGCTCTCCACTCCTCTTTTACTTTATTCGAAAAATGGTGGTACTTTCTGGAGTGTCCCCATTTGGACATGGGGATGGTCCATTCTCTGGCTGTTCTTATCGAAGTTTACTGAGATAAAGTAGTGTTTCTTGAAAACAACAATTGAATAAACTAATAATAGAAAGTATGCTCAAAAAAATTGTCATACTATGGTCGCTAAGAAGCCTCAAGATATTGACTCCTCTTCATCTGATGAAGATCTCCCAGCAGTTGAAGTAGAATACCCCACAACACCAGTGAAAGCAAGAAAACAACAAGCTGCTAAGAAGCTTAGAAAGTTAAAGGCCATGTCACCTGTAGCTAATAGAAATAAGCGCAAACAATCTACTTCAGTTTCATCATCTAACAGTGCCTTAGATGATGGTATTTCAACTGTTGTTTCCAGTTCGTTGCTAAGCAATTCAACTTTGTTGGATAGTTCTTCAACTGCACCCTCTTCGTCAAACAATTCGTCTTCTTCCAATTCAGGTAGAGATAGTTTTGCCAGTAGTTCATCTGAACATGATATCATGGCGATCAAAGCCCAAATGCAAGAAATGATTGGAGTTTTGAGAACCGTAACAGGAAATATCTCTGAACTTACTAAGAAAGTTCAGGAGAGAGAAGAAGAATCAGATGATGATTTTGTTAATCCAGAAGCTATATCTCCAGAAGTTTGGTTACGTCAAACTTATAGAGACCTTAGAAGTTCTTA